TAAGCACTACTTTCTGAAGGTATACTGTAACATTCCTATAGTCAAGATTTGGGGGGAAAAAACATTGATTTGCTCAGTTTTAGAGCATGATGCTGATAATACCAAGCTTGTGGGTTTTTAATCCCCATATTGCTGTTTACTGAAGAATTGGACTCGATCCCTTCCAACTCAAAATATTCAGTGGTTCTGTGCACCTAGATAGCCTCAACAGAAAATGTCCAAACAGCAATCTATGTGATGCTGTAGCAGACAAAGCTGAGCATTAGCAATATACTGAAGTAGTCTACAGACAGCACGTGTCAGCAGCATTTTGCTTGGTTTGCATACAGATGTAGAGAGAACCTTCCAAGACAGCATTTGCCTAAAAGCTTATGTACAAGAGACATATAAAAATTTGCAAGCCTACATGATTATGGAGCTGCCACCTCTTTCTGGAAATGTACTCTAATAAATCAGTTACAAGATCAGAAGAGTCTTAGCTTTGTGAAGTGGGTAACTTAATATGAGTGAAGTGAGTCAGAGACCTACTCTACTGATAAGATCAGGGCATTGCCAGATTCTGTCTTGGAAGTATCCGGAATTGAAAGCAAGTACACAACAACATTGTCTATTGTTACATTTCAGAAGTAGCCCATTCTTGCAGGAAGCATTTTTAACAACTGAACCAATAATAAAAAAATAATCCCTCTTAAGTTTACTTCCTCCACTCAAGAGTCCACTTCAACATTGTGTCCGATGAGTTTTGGAAGAGTCCTGCTAGTCCTACCAATTAAATGTTGGTTCATTGTAGTCAGCTGTCCTGTAGCCTTTTTTGTTGCACTAACAATTAAAAAGTAAGGTAACAAAGCAAATTCTTTTTTTATTTTTTTTTTGCTCAAGCACTGACTGGTAAATATGTAAGAGTGCATCTACAGTTTCCTTAGAAATCACATACAAAGCACTGGAAAGCAGCCAGGAAGATGTTTGGAAATGGCACATTCACGGATTGAAAATTTAACTGTTTACAGCCAAGCAAGACTGAACGGCAAAATCAGACCATTTAATTTGAAATATCTTTCAAGCTACAACTGATAAACACATTTATGGCTTTCATCTCACAGTACTGACAGCTCAATTTCCACACGGCTCCTTGCTCTACAGTGACAGGCTGCTATACAGAACTGACAGGTTAAGAGAAATGCAGTACTTTGGCAGATCAGACCCACAAGTTTAGATGAACATGAACGTTTTTGCACCCTTTATCTTACCTAATGTCAACTATCTCAAGGTACAGCTATTTAGAACACATGATCAAGCTTCTCTTACCCTGACATGGCAGCAACCTTTTGCTCCAATAAAGCAAATATCAATATGTACTGCTGCAGATAATTACTACTTTCCCCAGTTACTCTGACAGTAGTCAGCATCTAAGAAATATGTGGTGTTATTCACCCAAAGATGTGATTGAGACCCTTCCATTTGCGGTAATTTTTTGCATGTTCATTAATAGAAATAGATTAAGGGAATTCTGCCACTAACACTTCAGCCTAGAGATAGGAAGGCACATTAAAAGTTTCTAGAGATGAAAGGGAACAGCTACAGAAGGCACTCTGTTCAGCCTGGAATGTGGCTGAACAAAACTGATAGGAGCAATATAACACTGACATACAAGGATGGTTGCCTTCACATAAATGTTATTAAACGTACTAAGATGGATGTATGTGTATTAACCATTTGACAATTGATAACAGTTGCAAGAAAGATAGCATTCCTACTGTACATATCTTAGCATTCTACTCATACCAAATCATAAAAGCCACTAATATGAAGTTCAGACATGCCTATGTAGGGACTCCAAAACGGAGCTCAGACATTTCCCAACAAATTAGTCTGCCTTATCTGGCAGCAGGTTATCCATAGACAAGTCTGAGAAGATACAAAATTACTAATATTTCACATTTTTCAGTATATATATATATATATAAAAAAATCATACATATATGTGATTCTTTGATATGGTCTGCTCCTTCTTTATCTACATATCTGTTTCACATAGTCTCATAAAAACCTGAGCTGTGCTACTCAATTTTGATAGAACAGAGAAATTGCACCATGTCCTCATCAAAACTCCTTCCCCCAGTTACTCATCTCGGGCAGTGTAATACATTTACTTCATCAAAATTCATAAGTTTCTCCTGCTTCAGTCACTTTGATTGATGTCATTAATGATAGTGAACCACAGAACAGAGTAAATGGTGAGTGACAACATGCTGATGCAGCCTCCAATAACACATGCAGGATTAAACAAATGAAAAACAACCAAAAAAAGCCTTAGAACTTACTGTCCAAAACTTTATGAAGTACTGCAAGACTGTAGCAGCAACAAACAAACAGTACAGTAAGGAATACATTAAAAACAGGAGGAAGAATTTGTAGTTAGAAAATCCCACACAATTATTCACCCTAGAAGGAGGGGAAAGAGAAAAAGGTTACTAAGGTATACAAAAAATGAAAAACCCACAATACATTCAGCTTTTGCAGAGCAAAATGTGTATGATGTCAGTGGTATGTCCAAAACATTCTGGAGCCAGTGCTTCAGAAGCATTTTAAGCCACTATTTTGAAAGAAATTTATTTTCTCAGACTGAATGATTTGGGCCTCTCACATAAATTTTGCCCCCCATGATTCTATAAGACAGGACATGAGCTGGCAAAACATTACAATACAGACAGTCCGTACAGGAAGCAATTCGCACTACAAACTAACTGCAGTCACCACAGAAAGTAACATGACCCTCACCATCACTTTCAGTGGATGCTGCTTTGATTAAAAAAGCACCTCTAAGTCAACTACTGGTAGTAATGTTTTACACAATGATAGCAGATAATATTTTACTGACTACCAGTGAATACTAACTGCAGAAGAGTCTGCCTGAGTGGGTCATACATATCATCTAGAATTGAGAAATGATTCTCCCATTGCAGTGGGTATCTCCTCTCCTGCTAACACCAACAGAGTAAACAAAAGAAAGAAATGCAAAAAGAAACTAAAAAAAGAAGAACAAAAGAAAGAACACCTTTTCTCACAGGTCTCATTAATGCCAAGGTTTCTCTATACAAGGAGAAACTGCACAGTTTGGGTGACTGGGCTTACAACTCTACACTCCAACACACATTAGGAAGATTTATTCCCACATAACAAAGAACTTCTGTGAGAATCAAGGTTTACTTCAGAAGTGCATTTCTGAAGAAGCATCTAATTCATCACTCTTACACTGATCTTTAAAAAAATAAACTTACCATGGACAGTGATGGTCCATTTTTAATACACATCTGAAAGAGAGAATTTGCAGCAAGTTAAAATAAAAAATACTTTTTCTTTCTAAGAAACATAACTTTAGTCTCTACAGTTTTGGGTGGTGTTTTTTATTGATTGATTTTTTTCAGGTATTATTCCCTACTGTACGTTTTTCAATCTCTTCTCAATCATACCAACTCTCTATATTAGAGCAGCTGTTCTTTCACCAAAAAGGACCAATTAAAATTCAGAAAAGTTATGAGGAGAGTTTCTTACATTAGCATGGGGAGCATTACTGAGCAACACTGTGCAACAGTTCATTAAGCCACACTAGTTTTATGTGCACATAGAGAAAACAAATCCAAATGATCTTTCAGGGTTGTGTGGATAAGGTGTGTCAGCCTGGCATTCTCTTCAACTAAGTGTACCTTAGGGCTATTTTTGCTACCATTTTGTTTGCTGCTTGCCTTTTTTTTTTTAAAGCTAATGGAGAAAAAGAGCAGCACAAAGGGCAATTTGAATAGTTCACATGCCATTTTAATCCAGTTTTAATGTAAAGGAGGTTACCAGACATTTTAGACACACAGACATTCATTGTATTTACTAACAAATTTGATTTTAGCCAAAAGATGTGTATTAGGTTCTTCAATTAAGGAGATTTCCTCAAGCTCAGCCTACTGAAGTCTCACGCACAGCCTCAGCCTTCAGTGCCTGTGCAGACTGATGACTCACAGTGAAAACAGAGAATAGCAGTGCTGTCTTTGAAATATTAAAGGCATCTGATTCTACTGTCAATTTTTGAGATAAACATTTTTAGCATTATTAGTGGAACACATATGTTTCAAAGCTACAGAAACAAGATACAATGAAACAGTTCAATAATAAGCTTTTGCTGGTGCTGGTATCTCAGACCCACCTTTCTTTACATTCAATCCATGATTTTTTAACTTTTAAATTAATTTATTTTTTAATATAAACTTTGGTTTACAAAGGTACAAGCAGGTTTCCTAAAAAGTTCTGCCACTTTAGACAATAGGGCTGCACCAAAATATTGCACCAGCAGAAGGAGCTGACCCACTGAAGGCATGAACACACAAAAGTGATGATTGCAGGAAAGAGAAAATCTGTAATTCCAGATTCAGACACTTACACGTCACATGCAGAACAGTGGTGGCAGCGGTCAGGTTTGATCAGCTGGCATCGATCACAGTATCTGATTGCTGCATTTAAGTGCAAGGGTCAGGTCAGCAGAACTCATTTGATTTTATGAAAGCTTTCCCCCTTAAAATGAACTGAATCTTAAAAGACCTTCCTGCCCTCCCCTGCCACACCTGCTCTCACAGACTGTCACACACCTAATCTCATAGTTTTGATTTTTAAGAGAAATGTAACATATGAAAGTATTAAAAAGAATCTATTACTACTCTACTGAGTCCATTTTCATTTACGCTTTGACTCCCAAGCCTTCTCATCCTTCATCCTCTGGCACTGATTCCACTTTTAGCTCTGCACAGGGTACCAAGGCATCTTATTTTCAGCAAGTCAACCTTCTGCACTGCCTTTCTCTATCCACTTTACCAAACAATGATCTAGCAGACTGTTCAGTAAATCAGTTCTTCCTCATCTTTCCTGGATATTTTTAAACAGACCTTAAGGTTTTTCTTAATGGAAATAAGACACCAGCACAAGCAGTTTGAAAGCAGGAGGAAAGCCAACACCTACAGCTAAAAAGAACTGATAAGAGCTGGCAACAGCTTCCCAGACCACTCCAGGAACTTAAGATTGAGATTCTCTTAAATGGAAGCTTGTATTCAAAAGAACCAGGTGTCCTTAGACTTTGTTCAGAAAAGTCACAGTAAACTTCAGCAATGGTTATTCTGATAAGTTTATGTTTCTGGAAACTTTACAGGGTTGCTAGTTTAAGAAAGAGAAAAAGATATATAAACATACAAAAGCTATAGATTTTTGAAGAATATACATATGCATAAGAGAGCACTTTCACAGATCATTAATCTATAAATTTGAATAAAATGCCTACATATATTAAAAGCAAATCCAGAAATAATCCATAACTAGATTTGTACTGAATTGCAGATTGGAATGAAATAACATTTGTTTTTAAATTGCAAAAGTATGTTAAGATCTAAAGAACGTTTCTCCTCACACTGAACCAAAACAGCTCAAAAAGAAAAGTTTAAGAGAGGATAAAAGTGATTATAAAATTGAGCAACACATTTGAATTTCCCTATTTCAAGCTATCTTAGCTATATTTCTTTGCTGTGTTTATTTTTAATTGCCACAGCTAGAGATAATTGCTGTCATCTCTCTTCTTGCTATAAGAGATTTTTTTTAAAATTTCAAGTAGTGGCTTTATGCTGAGAACCCCAGAAAAAGGACTGCTGTTTCTGTCAGGGGGATTAAACACTAGGACAAACACATAACAAAACACCGTGGCATTTGCAATATGTGCTTAATATATTGTTCATTCAGTGGCAACAAATCAATAAACAGCAACTTCAGGAGCATAGAATTATGTTTATATCTCACCTCTTGATGCTGTTGTCGTATAGATAGGCAAGTCTTTAGCAGCTCTTCTCAAAATCTCCTGCTGGGATTCTGGTCTCTCTTCTTTTTCATATTGTTCTTTATCAGCTTTTGACAAGCAGAACTAGGAGGGATGGAGAAAATGGATAGGAGGGAAGAGATTAATTATTACTTTGTTTTCCAAAGAAAAGACCCTTTGGGTGCTCCCACTCACTGACCCAAAAGCACCATGCCAACAAAAAGAAGAATGCTTCAGGAATTACAGGAGATCCTTAGAACTCCTTGTTTCTGGATGTATTTTCAAGAAAATAATCTTTAATAATCCCTGTTCGATTATCTATAGTGTTTTCTCTTCAACACAAGGGAACACAGAGACTCAGGGTGAGCTTTAAGGTGCAAACTTTCCTTTAATTCCTGATAAGCATAAATTAAGTAAACTGTGAACAAGAGGAAGGTACAACAGCCCTTTGCTGCTACAAGGCACTGAAGTTCTTTTATTCCACTTCCTCTCTAGTACAGACAAGGGTACAAACCAGATGGGGGGAAAAATGGCAGGCAGGGGGTGTGGTGGGCATCACAGTTCCAGTACAGAAGCTGAAAGAGTTTAAGTGGAATTTTAACTTAGGAGTAGTCAACACTAATCTCAAAATTCTTAAGCTGCATTGAAAGCAACTTCAGCAAAGGCTGTACAGTTTGAGAGTGTGCTACAATTCTGAGTAAAGCCTGACAAGCATTCCTTTTGAAACTTCACTGAAATGTAAGTCTTTACCAGAAAAACCTGGAGAGCTTTTACTCATTTGTGAAACACTTAGTTTGGTATCTGCTGAAACAGTATTTACCAGTAAGCCTCACAAAACCCAGCGTGCTGACAAGGCCCTGTGCACCAGGGGCTGAAATGACTATTTTCTTTGGTATTTTTCTGTTCCAAAGCACTTCTAAACTCTGAGCTTCCTGCATGGACAAGAGCCCTCTTTATGAGCACAAATAGACAAAGCATTCATGGTAGAGAGTGGAAAATGCTATGTGTGCAGCTGGAACAAAAACTGGCTTAGTATGGTTTAGTATGATCGTATTTTCCTACCAAAAACATGTGCATGATTAGTTCACATGGATTTTCCTCTCATCCTGTACTTTTTCCTCTTTTGGATTACAGTCAGTTGGCAAGCAACAACGAAGACTCCACTTACAGTAAAGAGGAAGCAGTAAGACATTGCTGCAATTTCTCTGTGCTATTTCCTAACCCAGAATTCAAGCAAGATGCCTCACAGCTCACACAATCTAGTTAAGCCTCCTGTCACATGTGGTATCATCCCAGTTATAGAGCTTACACATCCTTCAAGGCTGAAACATGAAACATGTTTAAATAATACCCTTTGAAATAACAAGACCCTAGAATTAATCTACGCGAAGGGTGAAATTAAAGTGTAACATTTCAGCCATCACCAAGAGTTTGACCTCATTATTTAAATTTAATCAAATATCTATTCAGGCATGAAAACTGAAGACAAAAGTTTAAGACAGACGTGAAGCATCATTCCAACAAACAGTGGTGTAATACAACTTAATCCCTACTACCCTTGTGAGTCTGCTAGGTGATGCAGGTCTCTGTGACCTGCAATCAAGCAGAGGTTGCAAGAAACATGAGTACTCCCTCTAGATGACATTTCAAGGCAAACCATTAGTGTACAGAAAAGGAACCCAATAACAAGATTTAAAACTCTTAAAATCTGTCCACATAACATCATAGTATTACTCCAAAAATCCTGGATAGGATTTTGGTTTTCCAATTTCTGTTCTAATTTCAGAATTTAATAGGGCTATGAGACCACAGTCTCTCAGGACAATAGCAGGATATGTTCAAAGACATCAGAAGTTGTCTGTTACCACAGAGCAAACAGAATTCCCAATGAGGTTCAGCAGTTCTTATTGAAAACAGAAAGAATCCCTTTGTTTCCTTCCTCTTTCTGGATCTTGTATAATGCTGATTGTTCTTTCTTAGGACAAATGTACAGGGATTACACTAAGACAACAGCAGCTGCAGAATTTTTTTTAGTTCAGTAGTAAGATGGCAGGATGTTATTTGTTTTGCAAGGATGGCCAGTTTGAACGACTAAAAATATATACATTTACACTCTCACACAATGGAGAGATTCTGAAGTCATGTTTGTTTTTAAGTATAAACAGCATAAATTACTCACTGGTACATGAACAGAAGGGATTTGCCCAGAAACAGAAAAAAGTGGTGCTGGGTTTTTAATTTGGTTGGTTTTCTGCTTTTTAAAAAAATTTTGAGTGTTTTTTTGTTGTCCTGGTGGGAGAGGTTTTTTGTCCTTTTTTTCATTTAAAGCTAGCTGTAGAAGAAAATTTTAATAAATCTGACCTATCTCCACAGTTAATATACAAAAAAATCATTACATGCCATATGCCCAAGCCATCTCTTTCACTTGCTGAATACAAAAAGCCTGCTACATCATCACTGCAACTACAGGAAAAGTACTGTCAGAATAAGTTTGCTATTGATGAAGAATTTAAGCAGACAGCAAAAGTTACTAGACATTAGTGTTAACAGCAGCTCTAGTTCATATACGACACAAAACATAGAATAACACCATTTTGACCACATTTTAACTAGCTAACCTGCTTAACGTTACAATTTTCCTGCAAAACCATCCCAGAAAAAGCAAAACCAAAGTACCCTGAAGCCAAGTCCCTTTGAATTTTTAGGTTTAGCAATCATTTAGGTTGGAAAACATCTAAGGTCATCAAGCCCAGCCATAAACCCAGCACTGCCAAGTCTACCACTAAACCACATCCCCAAATTACACATGTTTTCAAACCTCCAGGGATGGGGCTACAACCACTTCTCTGGGCAGCCTGTTCCAGTGCTTGTGACAACAAGTCTTTCAGTGAAGAAATTTTTCCTAATATCCAATCTAGACCACCCCGGTGCAACTTGAGACCATTTCCTCTTGTCCTGTCACCTGTTACCTGGGAGAAGAGGCTGACCCCACCAGGCTGCCCCCTCCTTTCAGGCAACTGTAGAGTGATGAGGTCTCCCCTGAGCCTCCTTTTCTCCAGACTAAACACCCCCAGCTCCCTCAGCTGCTCCTCACAGCACTTGTGCTCCAGACCCTTCACCAGATTCATTGTCCTTTACTTACTACATCATGCAGAAATTCACAAGCGTTTTGGGGTGTTTTGGTTTATCTAACTCCAAAAATGTACAAATTACACATTTACATATTTTTGCAGTGGACTCTTGTTATCGTAAAAGCTGTCTCCTTTCACAAGTTACACTCTTCAACAGCTACATTTAGACTTTTTGCTTAGTTAAACAGCAGAATATTGTTTACCTTTTAAACTTTATATTCTATAGCTTTAACATAGAGATCTCTAAGCCATAATTAAGCACTACAGAGCAATGTTTGCTTTTTCTTCAAAGCATGGGAATAACTCATCTCAAGAATGTTTGATTGACATTAGCACTGAATGTCAGTCTTGCTAACAACAAAATAAAAATTCAGCCCCCACAGAGCAACCAACACCTCAAACAGTTTAGGCAGTTTAAAAGCTTTATACAAACAGAGAAGAAGAAGAGAAGGGTAATATTTTAAAAGGCAATACTTCAATATTTTATTTACAATATTTTAAATATTTTAAATTCAGTGCCAGTATTTAATCCTTACATACACATACATTAGAGAAAATAGAAAACAAGTTAATCCATCTCAGACTTATTGGAATTAATATGGTTCTTTTTCAAAACAAAACCTCATCGTGCATTCTTTCGCTATTATATAAAGCTTCTTTATGTAGTCACGTCTCAGTGTTCCTAAATCTTAACTTTTGACTAATAAGTGGGTTCAGTCCTCCAGGTCATAAGTATACATTGCATTACTACCCTTCCTTACTCAAACAATGGTCAAAACTGCCTAAAAATGTTGTCACTGTATTTCATTTATCAGTTTTAAAAATTTCAGGTTTCAAGCAAGCTACTTCACAGCATATCACTGCACAAGACTGCCAAACCTGTGATGATTTAAACACACGTTTCGTATAAGGAAATGTCATTACACAAAGCATATGGTATTTTAAGAGTAACTTGATCATTTTCATTCATGATACACTGTCATGCTGTTCTATTTTAGACAATGAGAAGGGAAAGGTGAATCATGCAGTACTGCAAACAAATTTCATCACTGAAAACAGTTCAGCTATTTATAAAAAAGGCATTGACATTTTCCTAACATTATATTTACCTCATTAGAGGGGGTTGCAGGAGATGTGAAAATTGTCTTCCCATAGGACCATACAAACATGACGAATGACAGATGAAAAACTACAAGGTAGACAACTGCAATAAAATACAAAGAAGAATTTGGTGAATATATCTGAAAAGAACAATAAATAAACCCCCTAATCTTTGAGGATGGCTAAACAACTACACAGCACTCTACGACTGTTCACTTTAAAAAATTAAATAAACATCCACCCTCACTCTCCAAATGTGATGGCTGCTCTTCCTCAAGGAAATAATGTTTTTATTATAGATTCACGAAATGACCTTGAATGCTTCCAGGGATGGAGCATCCACAACTACTCTGGGCAACCTTTGCTGCTGCCTAGCCACTCCCACAATAAAGAATTTCTTCCTTAAACTTAATTTATACCTGCCCTCTTTCAGTCTGAAGTCATTCTCCCCTTGTCCTATCACTCCATGTCCCTGAACAAGTCTTTTCCCAGGACTCCTGTAGTCCCCTTCAGGTACTGGAAAGTGCTGTTAGGTCTCCCTGGAGCCTTCTCTCCTCCAGGATAATAAGCCCCAGCTCCCTTAGGCTGTCTTCATGGGAGAGGTTCTCCCTTCCTCTGATCATCCTGGTGTCCCTCCTCTGGGCTCTCTCCAGCAGGTCCCTGTGCTCCCTGTGCTGGGCCCCCAGAGCTGATGCAGCACTGCAGGTGGGGTCTCAGCAGAGCAGAGCAGAGGGGCAGAATCCCCTCCCTGGCCCTGATGCCCACCATTGGATGCAGCCCAGGACACCTTTGGCTTTCTGGGCTGGGAGCACATGCTGCTGAGCCACGTGGGGCATCTCATCAACCAACAGCCCCATGCCTTTCTCCCCAGGGCTGCTTCTCAATCCATTCTCAGCCCAGCCTGTACTTGTGCTTGGGATTGTCCTGACTCAGGTGCTGGACCTTACTCTTGGCCTTGCTGAACTTTGCAAAGCAGATTTTGAAGAAAAAAAATGAATTGACTAAACCCACCCCCCAAAAACCAATCAAACAAAATACAACACCAAAAGAAGCCCCAACAAAACAAAACCATACCCCCCCCAAACAAACAAACCAAAAAAACCCCAAACACAAAACCCCCAAACACCAGAACTGAACACAGCCACATAGCCTCACTTCTGGCATGTAAGTGACTAACCTTTTTGGATAAAGATGATGGCTGTAATTCTGTTCTAGATTATCACAAAGTAATTGATTACTTACTGACCTACATAATTCAATTTAATTTCTACTTCTAATAGAAACAACACAGTACTGTGCAATTACAGAAGGCACTGGTCATCAATGACAGTTAAAACCCCCAAACAGGGGTTTGGAGAATACATATCCAGTCATGCCAAATGTGAGTTAAAGATTTTCTTACTATCTTCTTTCAAATCACCTGAGAAACACAAGCTGGAAAAGTCCTATTGGCAGTCACAATGGCAACAAAATGTAACTGGCTTTAGGAAATAGATTTTCTAATGAGTCTGCATGATATCTTAAAGACCAGAAATCCAGACCTTATGATCCAGGAAGCTCCTTTCAATCTTGTTTCCTCTAATGGTTTCTTTTATTACTTGTCAAGAGGAAACAGATCAGTTGTTCCAGAACAGCAAGTCTTAGAGAAGTCATATTAAATATTTATATTATCTTCATTTATATTATCTTCAGTTGCAGCTAAGTAGAAAATTTGCCCTACTTTTCTCTACCGATAGAGTCCTTTAAGAACTTTAAGAACCATTAAGAAGCTGTACAATGTACTTCATGGATGGCAAAAAAGGTTGGGAACCTCCAACAGCTCAGAAAATGCTTGTGCACAGTCACAGAAGACACGGCTTTAATTTATCATCTTTCAGGATTTTCACTGTATATTGCAATGAAAACAAATAATCTGCATTTGAGCTTTCATCAGAGAATTATTTTTTTTACCTTTGCCTCTGATTCCTCTAACCTTAGAGGCAGACTTGACAAATTTTCAGCTGTGGAGCTGACTGAAAATGCCAGAAACAAAACCCTTTTCTAAAGCTATCCTAAATCTGTCTCCTGATAGGAAAGAACTTGTGTATTACTGTAGTAGGCACTGCATGGTTAGAAGTTTTCTGTTATTAAAAACATACTCTGCATTCAAACACAATGTGGTTAAGCAATTAAAGCATGAGAAAATGGTTTAGAAGAGAGGAGAAAAGGACATAAAACTGGAGTGGAATCAGTGGCACAGATCAGAACTTTGGTGGAGAAGAGGGCGGGAGAAATTGAATAGAAGGAAAGAGGAAATGAGATACAGAGGAGGGCAAGGCACAGCAAAACTAACTTACACAGTAAACAGTTCTACTCTGTCCATAAAAATCACGCCAGAATTCAGATTCTTTTGAAAGATTATTTTTAGTGCACACACAATGCATCAAACGGCAGAACCTCAAAGCTTTGTCACAGGTTGTAAATGCCCCTAAAACACAGAGAATAACAGGGACCATGGCCAGCTGTGTCAAAAGTACAGATCTGTGCCAGTGTTACCAGTGTTTATGAGATAGAGGCAGCTATTAAAGTGCTCTTCGTGTAACTGAGCTCTTGCAATCTGTCACCATCATTAAAAGCCAAGGGCTAGTACTCAGTAGCCAGTGATGGGCACCACCCAAGGAAAGACCCTGCAATTGGCAGTCCATACAGGCTTCACTGAATAAATTCTTGCTTCTTTTCCTACCTCCCATGCTGCCTACCTCCCTTCCTACTGTGATTACACATAACTGTCCTGTCAGTGCTCCCCAGGAAATGAGAGGGAGGGAAAATACCATTTTTAACAGCTTTACTTCAGCAGTCCATCTACCCACTACTTTGGGTATCAGTAGCTCCTCTACAGATTACTCCCTGAAGCATCTTGCATCTGTTTCCAGTTCAAATGTAAACCGGATTCATTCCTAGTCAGCTCATTTTCTTATAATTACAAGCTAGATGGAAAATACAACAAAAACCTCAAACTGCAGTATCTGCCAGTTTAGCCAGACTCTGAGTCACAAGGAAGTCCTGGCTAAACTAAGGCCATCCAGGATTCTTGGTGCCATGCTGCAACTAAGTGAAGTCAGTTCTCTTTAAAGGCATTGATGCATACTATACCAAATTTATGGCCTCACAAAGACAATGTCTTAAGACATGCTCTCAGAATCCTCCTAAAATATGCTAAACCCTCCTAAGATTTGTCCTTAACATTCTTTTCTGAATCATTCTTAATACTACTTTCAAGACAGAGTCAGAGTACAGAGAGGCAACAATATATAACAGTAGTATATTACACTGTTAACAGAAATTCAGAGTTGACTTTATTCCCCTATCCTAATGGATATAAAACTAGACAAGAACATAAAATTACAAAGAAAAAAATGAGCATTAACAGGGTGAAGAAATCACCAATAATTTAATCAAAAGTTGCCATTATATTAAAATCATTTTACTGTAGTACTTATTACATTGAAATATGGAGCAAAATACACTTGCTAAGATGCACATTATTGATTTACATAGCAATGTTTCTGGTACTCTGGTCTTTCAACTCTTCTGTTGATTCCTGATTATCATGAGCTGGCTTATAAGAACTTTAGAAAACTTATGCCAGCTTTCTTTTCAAATGAAAAAAAGACTTCACACATCATTTTAAAATCAACCTTCATGGTTGACTAATTAATGCATACAGGATGCCTATAACATGATTCAGAATGGGAGGTGCAAGCAGCATGTAGGTGACAACTATTAAGAGCCTAACTGGTTCCAGTGACGCGGTCACTCTTGTTAATTATCTCGTGTTTTCCTTCTCTGGTAGATTTAGAAGAACCTGTTTCAGTCAGATAGGCACTGCATTTGAAATCGAGATCTGACTATGTAACACAAACATTGCTCTGCCAGCCTTCCTTAACTGATACATGGATCTTGCCTTTCCAGAAGAAATTAGAAAGCAAAACTTATTAATCTACGGGTCAACAGCAAGTGCAGCAGCAGCTTGCAGAATTCTGGGAAGTCAAGGTAAAGCCCAGCTGTAAAATGGGATGAAAAAGGCCAGTGTAACACACACTCACATGAATGCTTACATGTAAGCTCACATGAACGGCTTACACTTTATTCTGAAGATTTTCCCACTCTTTCAACTCTCCATTAGAAACTGAAAAATAACAAATTCCATCAAGATTCCTTCTTTTTACAGTGTTCTGGTAGATGTTCACCAGGAAGAAAACTGCTAGATTAGGTTCTAGTTCTGTGCTTTTCTGTAAAATATTTCAGAGATGAGTGCTTCTACCAGTCTGAATCAGTCCTCTGTGGATAGTGAAAGTGCAAATCTGTGCTTAATCTATCACTCATGTTCGCCCATAAACTGGAATGAACTCCCAAACAAATATCCCAGAAACAATATGCTGGATTTTTTTTTTTGTTAGTTTGTATCTCTATCACTGTGCACTACTACCCATTGTAGCATATACTTGCTAAAGCCAACACGAAGATTAAAATTTCTCAAAACAAAACTTCAAACATTTGACCTGGAAACTTAAAATCATAATGTGTAGTCACTTTTAAAATGGTAGCGTTTTGCACAATTCTAACTACTCCTTAAGAATGGAGTTCTGAGAAACTTGGTAAACTGTTTGGAAAATACTAAGCATGCTCTTCCAGAAGTCCTTCAGGTCACAGGCCTAAACAGAAAATGGAATTATGGATGTGCTGCAGTTCCTTCTCTCCTCTCCTTCTTCAGGTCTTAATAGGTACAGATGTAAAAATAAATACAAACTTAAATCATAGTTGCATTACTTGCATTAGTCACAGGTCTTGTCATCATCCCAAGTTTGTGATATTAGAAACAAAACAGACTCAACTGTACAATATTTACCTTGTTTCTTAGCACTATTCTACTTGCTACACAGAGCTCACACATAAAAGAGTACATTTAAACTCTATGTCCCTTAGGATTTGCATGCAAAGCAGCTATTTGCATTTTCATAAAAACTTGTAAAAATTACCTTTTTCGGCAGTTGAAGAAATAGTAACTGGAAGAGAAAAAAAGAATTGTTAGGCAAATTTGTACAGAATTAAATAACTGGCTACAAGTGAGATATACGAGGTAGTTGACTTGTTCCAAAGCATATTTCAGCAGAGCCTCCCCACCCAACACTGGGGTAAAACAGGAGTCAATATTCCTCCTGCTAGCCCTTGATGCTTGGTGAGTTACTGGAAGAGCTGAAGGGATACAGTTCTCTGGGCTAATGAAGTGAGCCCACTCCACAGATAATTAGACAGAATTTATGCATATTCCCCTTCCTATATGCACCTAACTTGTTTTTCTGAGTCAACAGCTAGGCCAACAGGTGTACCACTGGAAGGCAGAAAATGAAATTAAAAGTTTTTACAGAAATCCCTGTGAAACTGCTACACGTAACCTACTTCCTTAATTTCTCCCCCTTACCCCACACTTCTCTCTTTCTGTCACATACTATTTTTTGCTTTCTTCCCCTCGACCTGAATTCTTCAGGCATAGTTAAAATCTTTCCACCTCCTTATCTCCTATAGCCTCATCTCCTTTCACGCCAGCAGCAAATTCCACTGTTCAAATCTACTTTGTATACTGCCTGACTAGTACATCTTCCTGCCCTCAGGCTTCTCCAAAACCTTCACGCCCAGTTTATCAGTTCAGGGATGATGCTGAACAGAGAGCTGCTGTACTTGTTGGTTGCTGTGTTCATATCACTTCCCTTGCTGGAGCTCTTCCTTGGATACTGAATTACTGGGGAAATGAGGAAAGTATCCCTCCTGACTCCAGCTTACACAGTAAATTTAAGCTTCTGGTCACAAGCATGAGCAAAATCTTAACAGAGCACACCGTGCTTCCTGCAGTTTACCTCACTACACATTGCTCCCCCTCTTCCAGCTCTGACACTTCTACTGTCATTAACCTGTGTAACAATTCAAGAGAGCTTTTTCCAGATGCACACTAGACTCTTAAATCTGCAGGGCTTGAGTGTGCATTGCAGACTTCCTTCTGAAGGGCTGCTTTGTTACAGAGTTGGTATTTGTCACTTACCTGTAGATACCTACAGGGAAAAGGTCTACAACTGTATTATGCACCTGTGCCTCTTTTTATGGGCAACAAGAGGCATAATGAGATGATATCTCAATGTATAGATGACCCCTTTTTATTCAGACATGTTTTAGGTTTTTTTCCTTCTTTCTTGCCTCCATCTCTCTCCATTAAATATCCACCCTCTGTTTATACACAGAAGCCTTTGCAAAGTTAATGGAAAACGTTCTGGTTCCTTCCACCTAAAAAGGAGGAAGAAATTACCATTGGGAATAGAACAATGTTGGCTTCAAACTCAAGGAGGTCAATCCTAAAGAACAGCTTCATTTCACATTAGTTATGCATACTTGCACAGCCTGCTCCCATGTTTCTGCCTGAAACTCCACTGCATGCTTCAGAAGTCAAATTATTTTTAAAGCAAATCCTGTGAGTGCTGTTGCTTAAAATTCTACCAATGTGTTATTTCTACAGTTAACGTGTTTTCAACAATGCAAGGAGAAGATAAAAGATTTAACTTTGTCTTTGGCTCCTCATATCTTAAGTAAACATTTTGCACACATTCATTCATAAACATGTATTTCCTTGGACAAGAAATATTAAAAAGTTCTTAATTATCCTCCGTTGGGGGCAGGAGAACATAGTTTAAAACTTCAGGAAATCTTTTTGGAAGTAATTCTGGTTAATGTACTCCTTAATTTGTAGCCTCATTTCTGCTCTCAGCACAAAAAAAAGCTGTGAGCCAAATGTGATGTTTGAAGACTCAAAATAATGAACAGGTTTTACAAGCCTGTAAAGGACAAAAAGAAAAAAAAAAGATAGTATTTTATCACATGTGGGACTTCATCAAAAAGATCCCTAAATAACATTCAAAAAATTAATTAAGCTTCACAGCACCAGGAAGATAATTTCTCTTTCATACATAGGTCCCTTAGGTTAGAATGCAGTTATTAGACTGTGTAGAACAATTTTCATTTGAGAAACTCCTGCAGTTTCTCAAAAAAGGTAAAAGCCAACATGGAAATGCTTGTGATTTTCATCCTGTCTTAACATCCTCAGATGAAATAAAAGATGTCCTGATCTCTTCTGTCTCAGAGGCTCATGAAAGTTAAATATTACTGTTTCTATCCTTTTCACTGTTCTAATGCCCATTGTCAGGTAGATTAAATGAACAGCAACCCTACTAGTCAAAATTCACTCAGCAGATGGCACATGAACAGTTTTACAAGATCTTTATACTACAAAGCAAAGCCTTTCTTCACATAAATTAATAGTCAATCTTGATGTAAAAAAGACTTTCAAGTATTTGCTAGACCGGTCATCTAAAGAGAAGCTTTGTACCTTCAAGAAATCAATTCTTCCTTATTAACTCTTCTACACCATGAGAAAAAACCTCACAGAACATGACATTGCCATTGTGGGCCCCATCCCCAGCCTGCAGTTACAAGTTTGCTCCCTATCACTTTTCCCCTCTACTGCTTCTGATGTTTAGATATGGCTGCCAGCTTCTGTTAAATTAGTACTGTTTTCACTTCAAATATTTTTTGAAACATGGTGGGGGAAAAATCCCAAGGCAGCACTGCCTTTTTGCTTATTGATTTTTTTTTTAAACCAAATAAACACTGCTTATGATTTATATGTTTAACCTCAAGATGCAACAGCATTATACTCTAGATACATGCATCAGCAAAAGTTAGTGCCTTAAGCACTGCGATCAACACAAACTGCCCATGATTCAGAAACATAAGTGGTGTAAAACAGCTGCTCTTTTGAGGATTTTAAAATATATTGCCATATCAGTCTATTGCTCAGCTATAAAAGGAAAAAATATTCCTTGGATTTGCTTCTGAGTATTAAGTTCCTGGTTTTGTGAGAAGACTTATGCAGTTCTAGAAAGATATTGCCAGGGAAGGATAAAACATGACCAGGACAGTGAAAGCTGCAGTTTACTTCAATGCAAAGAGCTCAGAAGCAGCACTTGCATGCTCAGGCACACGGAGCTTCCACTATGGCCTCAGAATTTCAAAGGACTCAACCTCTCAGCGCTACAGCGCCAGGAGAGTTGAACAAAGTGAAGAAGCCTCGTCTGTCTGACTGCAGTGCAGAGCTTTATCTCAGCTACCTCAGGGTTCCAAAATCAGTGTAAGGAAGGAGTGCAGCAAACCTGCTTGTACAGAGAGGCAGACAGGCCTACACTGAACTTCATGCTGCTGCAGCTTGCCCAGAGATGTACAGGTGCCACACACTGTCAAGCTGGTCCACTGAGCAGCTTACCAACTGGACCTCCCAACGTTCTGCAAAATGAAGCACACAATTTGAAGTATGTGGGATCACTCTCTACAGAATACTGCCTCCAAAATACACAATACAGCACTTTTTAGGCTGGATTCAAATGTACTTAATAACTCTGTCCACTTAGGGGACAAGCAGAAATTGCACGCTTGACTTTCACAGACTAAGTTGTCTTAGTTTTGATTTAGATACCTAGTATCACCCTTGGCAACAAAGACACTTTTTTTCTTTATGACCCTAGTTGTTGGTTACACTTTGCTAGATTCTCTTCCTCACATTGTTGGCTGTTATCTTTCATCTTACCTATGTCACAACTATGAAAGAGGCAGAAGTTTTATCACAGTTTTATCACAGGAAACAATCCGGCAGACACAGGGACATCATTAGCTGTATAACAAATGTAACTGGGGGAAAATGTCACTTGTTGGAAGCATTCCTCTTAGAGTGTGAACTGATAGAAATGTCAACTTCGGAAAGCTTTGGAGCATTTTTTAAGCTGCTTCAAGGAAACCTCTCAGAATATCTCATCTCTGAAAGAAAAACATGTTGGGGAGCCGGTTTGCTTTTAGTTTCAGGCTTATTTTCAGGGTTGCTATGAAGTGTTCAAACATCTTCCAATTCACTGCATAATAGGAAAAAACAAAATCTCTCTGTTCTGAGGCAAAGAGGTGCTATGATCTCCCAAGACCTTGCAAGAGGCATGCTAAAAGACATTTGCCTTCAAGCTTGGAATAAACTCCCTTCCCCCAGTCACATCTTCCTACTCCTCTATTTTCCAACCATAGCTAGATATGCTTCTTGCAGAGGAGGAAATTCAACTCCAACTAATATAGAAGTATAGCAAAGGACAAGAACTGATCTTGTTACTGAAGTGCTATGCTTATTTCCCCATCCACGCCCACGATGGCTCCTAGCAGGAGTCATACTTTGGTTATTCCAGACTTTCCACAAATTTCAAAGTAACATTCACATTTTGGCTGACGTTCCTTAGGGGTGGGAAGAAGGAGCGATAAAAGTGCAATTGCATCCCGTCACCAGATGCACAGCCTTAACTTTCCTCAGCTTTTAATTAAAAGAGTACAAATAAATAAACATATATATACATACGTATACCTACAAACACACTCATATATTTCCAGAAGTTACCAGTACTGAAATTCAACAGAAACTCCACACAGACACTGCCCTGTCTGCAAAGGCAAGCACCACTAACATCACCTCAGTGTTTAATTTGTTCAGAAAATAGCATTTTATTGAAAGTGTAACTTAGGTTTATGGTTACATAATTTCCACATGCAAATGCACACCTTAATCACTCACAAGAAGCCTACAGAGACATTATTTACTAATATAAGCCGGACAATGAATAAATTTCTTTGAGCAAATACTCAGGGGAGCAACAGAACACAAAGACCTTAGCACTTCTCCATTATTCTCTAAAGGCCTTAATTTTGTGACCTTCCCACACTGAGAAATTTCTTATTTCCCAACTGGCAGGCATTCACTAGGTGCTCTCCTCCCCTAACAGCCGGGAGTTTTTTAGAAAAATGACTCAGGATGACTGAGTTGACAGCATCATGTAGCCAAAAGCCAACGCAGGAAGATGCTGCCAGGTCCCTGCTAGAAGGCTATGGGGGTCCAGGAATCACACACTCAATTGCCATCATGAATGTTCTTCGCAGA